GTTACATCTCAAAAGAGACCCTTCTATTTTCATTTGCTATTTGTCCCTTTAATATTGTGCACTGGAGCTCTCTAAAGATTAATGGAGTTCCAATTACATGCCACTGTTGTTTCACTTATCATAATTTGTACATGGCAGTGTGAGGCCCTTGTATTCATGACTTTCCCAGTTTACCCAGAGGGAATATCTTTGGAACTTCCTACTTCTTACAAACAGGCAGTACTTAGTCTAACGATTAAAGCTTGCCACACACACTAAGTGAATGTATGCTCTGACAGAAAGCAGGATATCAACCACACTGTGGGATCAACCGACACTCTCACGCTTTAATGTGATAGTCTAAAAACTGTAATTAGTAATACGAAAACTTCAGCTACTCCAGTGTATTATACCTGGGCTGCATTGTGACTGGAATGCAATATAGAGTTGATACATACACAGAAACATTCTTTCTATTCCAGTTGGAGATGCATTTTACATTTTTGGTTCATGTGATTGAACTGGAAATGATGCATGAACATTGAATGAATCCTGGTTTTTTGTGTTTTTTTTTTTTTTTTTTAACTGATTCCTTTCAAGGTTAAGAATTCATCAGTGCTTTTTGATTTGAATGTTCTGAATAACAACATTACTTGTTGTTGCAATATCCAATACACAATCCTTGGTGTAAAATCCTCTTGGTGTTTGATTACTCTTCATAAGGACATCATGCTGATTCATTTCAAACTGTGAATTACCTTTAATTCATAGCTTGAACATGCTGCCAAATTTTGTTTTCTATGCTCCCAGGTGGCTGTCCCTGACACAGTGGAGAACTTCCAAAAAAGCCATTAGATACTTATGAAAAGTAGTTAGATGTTGAGAAGCACATTTCCATTTCCAAACATGCTTCCATCAAGTATTATGATAAGAGTTGGGATTAGAAAAGTACAGGTATTTACTTGAATCTTTTTTTGGAGTGTGAAGTGAAATCCTGGCCCGACTGAAACCAGTGGTGCACCCCCTTAGAAAAATCCTTGCTGAAATATCACAAGAAGATTTTCAGCTGCTTGTTTTGAGCTTATTGTATTCAGCAGTTCTCTAGTCCCCACACATATTGTGCATCATTACGTATAACAAAAACGTATAAACAAAAACATCATTACGGATAACAAAAACTCTACAAAGATAAAATAAGTCGGTTTTGTCTGATCCATAAAAATTTGTTGGTCTAAGTTTTTAATGGTTTCCGGTAGTTCACTGAGCCCATGAGAAGGGCCTTTTAATACTGTATTAATATAGTAAGTATAGGAAGTAATTTTATGACAGGGGAAGAATACCATTATGATTACATTCTTCTTTTTAGCTAGGCTTTTATGGAAACTACCCAAGACTACTCTGCAGTATGATTTCGAAACACAGGATGTGCTTGATTAAAAAGGTTTTGGGTAGTTTCCAACTGGACAGAGGCCAAATGCTAACAACCAAAACAGAACAAAAGGACTGGATGTTTGAAGATGACATACTTGCAATGGTAATTATATAACAGAAACTTAAGTCATGAGCTGAGTTTGTACCCTCAAATTCATGGAAGTTGACAGAAAATCCTTCACAGTGCAATTGGTTGCACCTTATCTGTTCCTGCTTACTATGCTTCATAATAAACTAATCAGAGCAGACTGGCTGCAAACTGACCACACAATACCCAGCAGAGATTTACAGTGAATTTGAAATTTAAAAAAGGGAAGCCAAGTGCCACAGTTTTACATAGTCTGATTTCAGCTATAAAAATTCACTATGGTACACACACATGCACACACATCAGTGTTCAAAATTTCATTTTCAAGACTTGAGTAGAAATTAGGATCTCGTGTTAGTTATATGTGCATGTACTCATGTACAATGTAGGTGCAGAATTTAGACACAATCCCAACTACTCTACCTTCTATTTTATCTGCTGCAGAGCACTGGGGATTGAGTTTCTCCAGCATGTGGATATAACAAAGTACATTGAAATATTATTAAAAGGATGAAATATCTATTTTAGAAAGCTTTACTTAGACAAGAAGTCCATGCATCTTGCATCCCACTACAAAAGCAACACATTGGTCACTTGATCTTCCTTGCAGTATGTTGTCTTCATTCTTTCCCCTAGAATTGTGCACCTGAAAGTTTATCTTGCAAAGAACATACATCCCCGCTTTGGTCTGATCTTCCTTGATGCCAATGTTCCTACACCTGAATCCTGCAATGAGATACATGCAGCTTGGCTGCTGGAGCAGAATACAGCATCATGAAGGCAAAGGATCTTCGTTCTGCGTGCACCCCTCTACTAGTCATGGCATAACTCAGCAATACAGCGAATGCAAACACATTACCACCAATTCCTATGGATTTCTAACAAAGCCAATGGAATCTACAGGACTTGTCACCAGGACCAATGTAAATGGAAAAGATAACTCAAGTTTCACTTGAATTGCAGATGAGATTAAAATAGCTGGGGAACCATTATGCAGGTTAACATCCAGGTTTAAAAGATTCTAACAAAGCATACAGATTAGCAAAGTCAAATTTAGTCAGATTTGATCAAACTGAAATACAGATAACAGATCCCATAATACATAAGGAATTGGCGGAAGATACAGTTTTGAAGTCAGTAAGACCATGCTGTGTGGCTCACAGTGTAGCAACAGATGTCAATGGGGACAAGTTGGACTGTAATTTTACTCATACACTCCAATATCCCTGAAATCAACCAATGGCAGAAAGATTTAACCCTTCTTAATACAACTACAGTCTGATAAATACTATATTATTAAAACACACAATGACTGCAGGAGCTGTGTACCTATCAGGGTTTGTTTGGATCATACTACCCAGCTCTGCTTGACACCACTGCGTCTTTCTGCCCCACTCTCTGCTTTAATTTCATTATGTCCTCAAGTACTGTAATTCCCCGTGAAAGTGGTGGTAACTGCACACGCAGATCTAAGGAAACAAATTGGCCTCGTAATACCAAGTCTCACAGTGGACTGCCTTCTAACCTCCCAAAGCCCTGTGGAAATTCTTAGAAGCTGCCTTAACAATTTTTTCTGCAGTAAAAGAGAAAAAGTGATAGTAATGGGTTAGCTGATCTTCATTTGGAAGCTAAAAATAAAAGTAGCTTTATTGCAGCTCTGATCTCTCATGTGTAAAATCTATCACCTACCATAAGAAGGCAGTTCATTGCAGCAGAAATCTGATTGATAGTACTGGAACTTTAGATCAAGCAGCAGAACAGAGAGCAACTGGTTCATAAAATGTACTCAGTGTCTTCAGGTTTTATATCAGGCTTCCTATAGAGAGCTTTGGTCCCATTAAATGCACTATATACCACTGAGCTCTGAAGCACTGTTCTTTTGAAATTCAGCTTATAACTATAAACCATGATTGACAAGTCTATTACTGTTGGTTACAAACTATTGAAATATTGTATTTTATGATACAGTCACTAAAATATTTTTCACAGTGGAATCCAAATGCACTTGCTTTAGGAGAAAAATAATTTTAAGGTGCAATAATATTTTTTTACTTTCTTCTTTTTTTTTAGCCGCAAAATGTGCTTGATGTTAGACTTGGATCGCTGAGATGTTCTGAAACACCAATGCACCCATTCTGTTACCAAGGACAGTGGGCACATTTGGTTAGATTCTTTACAAAAAAACAAGACATTACTGGAAATCAAATAGCAAAGGGCAAAAATGAATTTGTTACTAAGTTTAATAAATAAATGCCATTCATGCAAATTAATCTATATATCATTAGGACTCCTACCCAATTCTCATTTAATCTAAAAAACCAAACTAATTCAAAAATTGAATCATTTGTTCAGCCACAACTTTGTAAAACTTTACTCAACCAACTTTATTTGAATGAGTACTTCCATGACTTGAATTTATGAGTAAAGAACTGGACCCCCAAGAGACTGGTGAGTACCTCAATGGCATCCACATCTAGTCTTCTCCTGCATCTCTTACATGGTCACAGACAAATCACTGAACTCCAAAAAGTCCTTTCCTGTACACAAACTTGCACTAAGAATCAATATATTTGAATAGATTTTAAAACCCTATGTAGGTATCTCCACATTGATTTTTCTTCCCCTATAGGGTTTCATTTAAAATTTTGTCCTTAGTAGCTTAAGGGCAACCACCAGAATAATTTTGAAGTAATTTTAAATGAACATACTGTATTTACACAAGTGTCAGTTAAGATAGTGCAGTTCTGAATTCTGGAGTTTAAAACACTTGAACATGAAAAAACCCAGCAGCTCTGAACTGAAATCAGACCCACACATCTTCATAAGCATAAAACCAACAACCTGCTTTTCAAAGTTGCTATTTAATTCCTTTTTGTAAATTACTTTGAGAAATTGGGATAAAAGTAAAAAACCAGCTCAGTCTCAATTCACTGCTACATCACTGCAGTCTTACAGAGAAGAATCAAAGAGAAATGGTTTAACACAATGGAGAATTAGCTCTTCTACAATTTTCAAGTGTCATATTTATAGATCATCTGTGATTTTCAGCTGTTTCAAAGTGTATGCAACTCAAGACCAGCTTTTCAACACCAGCTAGCAGAATCATTCCGTATGATGTGTTTTACTCTCTCTCACTGTATGAATGTTAAAATTCCTGCATCATCTGTTCACTGGGTTGCATTTTCTATTGTAAGAGGCTTAGTATCTGATGAGAGAAGCATAAAAGTGATTTAATTTTGGCAAGCTGTAGAACTAAAATCAGCATTATTTCTGCTTAATAAACTCATCTTTCACACATACCTCTGTTAGCTAATGCTTAAAAAGAAGAAACAGTAATAAGCACTGAAAACATAAAACTGGTTTATGGCTAATTTTTAAGGACTACTGAGAACACCTGAACACCAGGACAAGATTATGAGCAGAGCTAGACCTTTGGAGAAATAACCTCATTCTTTATGATAAATTTAAAACGAGATTTAAAGCTGGAAATAATAATACTTACGACTTTTGTGGCACTGACTTAGTTGCAACTTTCCCTGCTGGATCACTCCACTCTGCAAACAAAGGAAACACATTTTCAAATGTCAAAAGATTACTGTAGAATTAAAATGCACCCAAAGCTGTCAGCCCATCTAATTATACTTGGTTTCACAACATGCCACAATGCATAACATGTAATAAAAAATGGAACTGATCTGCTTTAGCACCACAGAAATTAATTTTTAAGCCTTTGTTTTAATGACATTAAGCAGCAAAAAAAATACCCAACCCTGATTGTTAAGACTAGGATGATAAAGACCTACTTTGTACATTGTATCCTGAGGTCAGATGTTGGGAGTCCTACAAAGAAGAACACACAAAATGTCAGCATTAGTTAAATAAGATGAAGAAGGTGAGATACATCTTGGCTTGCTAGATTAAGGGCACTGGCATTGCACAAACAGGGAAGGAGATGGTACGTGGAAGGGATCATGGGATTGTTAAGGCAGCACCAGTGGCATTAGCTTAAAAAAGCATTAGCTGTGGAGACAGCAGCACTGAGGGAACCTTTCACAGCTGAGACAAGAGCTTGTCCTTAGCTGCTGTAAATCTACGTACTCCCTTTATGTAGACACCACACAGATTTATACCCACAGCAGTCCTAGCCTTTTCCAGGCTTTGCCATGGATGTGTGTATGAGCCATCTAGGATGTACAATTTAGAACACAGCATGAATGCAACTATGCATTTAATTCAGTGCCATTGCCTTTCTTCTTTTGATCTCACTGCCTGGAAATACAGTAATCTTTTATTGACAGTCCTTGTTTATATTTGGACTGTGGCACGCAGGATTTGATAAAGACACAGGAAGCAGATTTTCACCTTACAGAAATTGGTCCAAACCAATGAAATCAATGGAAGTACAACAACTTTAAACAAGTAAAGAATCTGGCTCACAAAACTGAGCATGCTAATGTCGGGATTCTTGCTGGCTCACAATAACTGAGCTGCTTCCCTAATGTCACAGTGTTTTCTTGCTTAGGTTTTCTCTAGGTTTTATAGACCCCAGAGATTGTCATCAGCTTTCCTTCCAAGCAGAGTTTGACCATTTGAAATTAAGGTGTTATTTACAACCTCATCTTACAGCCAGGCACTACTTTGCTGGAAGTGTTAGTTCTGTAGGATGTTAAAGTCATTAAAGCCCTCACTGCACTTCCTCTTAGGGCATTATTAGTTCCTAATATTATATTGTGCTGTCAGTCAGTCCCTTGTGAAGTAAATAATGCCCTAAGAGTAAACATGGCACTTTAAATTTGAATGTCAAAGGGATAAATTGTTCTGATAAGTTCTGCCTTTTTTATCACACTTTTTTATATATGTTTCTCATGAGGATACCTTTTTTAATAGCTAAATTGAGAACTTCTAATAGTGCCTGGCTCTGGTTTATATGGCTGCACAATCTAACCACATGATGTCCTAGATGTATAATTTGGCCAGCCATAATTGATTTAAACTGATTTTCTGAAGAGACATTTCTGTTGTATTTTTTAAAGTAAAACTAGCAAACATGGAAACATTTATGCCCTTGCCTATTTCCTGCTCAAAAAAAATTAATTAATTCAAACATTTATGCCCTTGCCTATTTCCTGAAATGCTAGCTCAAAAAAAATTAATCTATTTTATATTTTGTATTGAAGTGATATGGTCAAGAATTTTAGGATCAACATTTAATGTGCCCAGAAATTAACTTTGATGTGGATCTTAAAAGTTCAAAGTCAACTTAATAGAAACAGAAAAGCAAACAAAAATTTTAGCTTCCCTGAACATATGCTTATACTCCTAGCAATGGAGATAGTGGCAATGGAGATAGATTTGCAGGACTCAAACCAGTTTCTGTAGGGTCCATCAGAAACAGAACACTAAATTAAAAGATGGTATAAATTTAAAAACCAGCTTCCAGTGGGCAAAACCCTGTATTCTCACTGTAGTCACACAGTTCACCTCAATGGGTTCAGCTGACTTTTACCCAATTTGCAATGAGGATTAAACTCTTGCATAATTATGAGCTTAGAAGGAAAATGGAGAGGAACTTTTTACAAGAGCATGTGGTGACAGGACAAGGGGCAATGGCTTCAAACTGACAAGAGAGTAGGTTTAGATTAGATGTTAGGGAAAGTCTTTACTGTGAGGGTAAATACATTGTACTTGATGTAGAACGACTCCTATAACAACAGAGGTAAAGTTCACTTTGCTTCCACTCTGTCTTCTGAAGCTTTAAATAAGCAGTCCTACTAGTAACAACACTCTGATTGGGAACTTCCAACTAAAAATAGTATCAGATTTTTTTTTTGTAAATGGGACCAATTACAAAAATAAACTCTCCAGTGAAGAACACTCAACAGAACAGAATGCTAATCAGGTCACTGGTAATAGCCTACTTGTACCTTGCTTGGGATAGAAAACTTGGTCTGCTCAGCCTTGCCGGGAGTGTGAATAGCAGTAAGAGGAGGAGGCCAGGAATGCGTCATCTCCTAGGGAAGAAAAAAACCAAAAAACTTTTGAAAACAAATTCATGTACATAGAGAAGAAAGAGAGTTAAAAATGATCATGTATACTCCACTGAGTCTGGAGATGCAATAGTTCAAGGAAGCACTCCCCCCACCACAAAACCTTATGTTACAGGTGAACACCTCAACTACGCAACAGGCAGCACTTCCTCAGAATGATAGTGAGGACAGGTTTTACTCTTGAAAATTATGACCATCTATGTCTTCACCAGGTGGCAGCTGACTCCACCTCCATGGTCAGCCTGTCAAGCTGTATGAATAGAGCATGGTTTTACTTACAAAGCCCTAGCAGGAAGGGGATCCTCCTGTATCGCACACGATGCAATCCTACAGAGGAGTGAATGGTAGCAAGATGCAGCCCTATTCAAGACTGCATAGTGGCAAAATACACCAGAGGCAGGTCTAGAAAAATCTGGAATGGGCTTGCAGCATGAATGCCTGGTGTAGAAGGGAGCAGGAACAGCAGGTTCTGTGCATCAAAGCATCTTTTCATAGCACTGGAAGGAATTTCCCAGCTGCTATTTCACACAGGTCAAACCCAGGCCCAGTCACAACAAAGCTTAGGAACGGGCAAGTTTTTGTAGGCAACATGACAACTAATAAAAACATAATACAGTTAATTAAATAAAATATAACTGTTGTCTAAAGGGCAGTGTGGTGGGTGCATTTCAGCTAAAGACATATCCTGGGTGGCTACAGCTGATATTGATGTATAATTCACTGAAGATAGAACTAGCAAGATTCAAATCTTCAGTTGTCACTCCCAAATTGTGTCATACAGAAGGTTAGGAGAGAGAAAGGAAAACTATGCACCACAGTCCTCAGTCAATGGGACTGGTATTTTTGGCCCATCACATTTCCACCCTTAGCAATGCTGCTACTGCAGCGAGGGCTGGCTGAGTGCTGCAAGAGACAGAGCCAAGGATCAACCACTATGCAGAGAAGCCCTCACCCAGCCTTGGCAGGGGCAGGAGGGCAGGCCTGGTTCTGCAGCTCAGCCCCACAGAGCTCTGCACCAGCACATGAATATGCTTGTGGCTTATCCACAGAACTACAGACAGTGCAGCCAGGGGCCAAGCCTTGGCACTTCCTTGGGCAGATGACCCAGGGACAGGGGAGAGTGCAGACATCTGCACTCCTGAAAGAGTTTCTGGGTTTCTGCTGTGGAGCCCAGGGCCTGTTATCATTGCAAAAAGCTCAAACAGTGGCAATGAGGAAGAAAGAAGCAGCTGGTGAACAGCTCATCCCTCCTGGTGGGTGAGGCTGCAGCAGCTCAGTGCCATGACAAGAAGCACACTGTTATACTGCACTGGTTGTCTGACCTCCACACAGGCAGAAAGAGATTTAAGCATCCGGTGAACTTTTGTGTGAGATAATATAATGCAAATCCTGCATGGCTCTGCCAAATCCTACGCCATAGAGGTTGCTTTGTGGCAAATCTCTTCATAGCAAAATGATGAAACAGAGACTGTATCACATAATTAAAAGAGGGCCAGCCAGTGTGACTGAAGGCAGAAACGAAGCATATTCTAGAACTGCAATTACAGGCTTGACCTCAGTCTCTTCCTGCCCACACATAAAAGGCTGTACTGAGAGCTTAGGATTTTTGGGAAGGTGATGCCAGCAAGCATTTCAGAACATTCACTGTCAAACTGCATCTAGTATCCACCACACACTCACTCAGCAAGCTGATGTGTAAGCAAACCTAGTCATCTCCCTGCTAGGGGATACCTGAACATAAAACCGTGGGAAAAGGAGTCTGCTATTATTTGAGGAAATTCAATTACAAGGTAAGAAATCCTGACTCCACCAGGTCAGAAGCAAAAGTCAACTTCAGTGAGGTTAGGACTATCCAATCTATGTGTCTACAGAATAACCTTGTGAGTAACAAAGTCCGTTACAAAGGTACAAGCTAACTACATTGAGGCATTTCACTCCATTTATCAATGCAATAAAAATTATTGGACAGAAAATTCCAGATAGGATCACACATGCAAAACAACATAAATATTTAAAGCTCAGTGTATAAACAAACGCTGTGTGTAGAAGGAGTGAGAAAGTATATAGCTAGTTAAAGAAAGAGAACTGCATCTACCAACAGACAGGTGTCAGAACACTTGACCAAAGAATCCTGAATGACAATAGTGAAAGTTTTGAGTTTACTCATTTGAAAAAGGTTACTTCAAAACATCTGGGCAGCAACCTCACACTGACCACCACACAGCGGCATGTTACACACACACAGAGCACCTCTGAGCTACAGAATGACATGCAAAAACGGCACTGCACTGTTGTCAGTGAAGGGCCAAAACTCCAACCCCACACCCTGCAGGAATGTGACTGCTTTACTCGCTCCTACTCTGTTCCTTAAGCACAGGGACGTTACTCTGGAGAATCAGAAGAAAGGATGTAATTTGTTTAATCATCCACATGACTTCACCATTCTTGCTATGCCTCAATTTCTTTTGGAGGTCTCTCATCTTCAAGTACTTGCTAAGCTCTATTTTGTTTAGCTTGTGAAATCTGATATATCTGCCTTCTAATATGTTAAGACTATAAGGAGCCACACAGACAGCATGTGTTGTGGATGCATCCATTAAGATGTGTCTATAGCACCTTGGTTTGTAAATACCTGGAAAAGTAGGCAGGGAATTGCACTGGTATTTTTTTCCAGGAAAAGTTAAAAAACTTTAATCAATCCAAATTTGGAAGTCTTCAGAAATTCCTGGAAGTAGAAATAATAAAACCAAGCATATGAAATGCTTTAAAGAGGAATTTAATGGAAACAAAGTAATCCCACAAAATTGAGTTAGGATTTATTTTCACATGGTTTGGACTTAAAATAATTCCAAAATCATGTTAACTGCTGGAGAGGGTAGATGACTGCTATGGAAGCATGCATTTTTTTATAGACCTGGAGATCAAATGAGAAAGTAAACCTGCACAGTTTGTTGGCTTAAAAGTCACTGTGGTCCTCTGATGTAGTAACATCAAGCATCCTCCTTTCTGAAAATTATTTAAACATTGTTTTAATTGACTCCATGTGTTTTATTTATTAGAGCTAGGCACGCTCGTCTCTTCAGCTAAGTCTGCTTTTTTCAGCTATAAAAGCCCTCAGGTAAGTAACTAAGAAGGACACATGCAGACACAACCTAATGAATCACCCAAAATACAAATACCACAAACAAACCTTCTAATTGATGCACAGGTATGAGGCCAAATCACGATTCAAATAGAAGGAGAGGACTGGGGAAGGATTTAAACTTCCAAGTTTCTAAGGAAAAGGTCAATCTGAGAGAACTGAGTATAAGGGATATGGGGCAGGTGGTAAATAGCTTCACAAAACCAGTCCCTAAAATTAATAGCCGCCTTCAAGATTTATTTCCTGTCTCTGTATTTCATTTTTCCATCATTTCCTTCTTGTTCAAAAGAAAGTGTGCCGTGTTTTTAAGTACAGATAAAAGCACTAAGCCAGGCTCTAAGAGGTCATTATTGAAAAAAGAAGCAGGACTGTGTACTCTGCATTCCTACCGAGGCAGCTTCCCTTCCTACAGTGTGCTCTAAACTGCTTAGCCTGATCTAATTTGAAGTCTCCCAAGATATAGGGCTCATGCTACTTCCCTTGGGAGAATTGAGAGGAGACATGAGAACAGTCTTCAATTACAGAAAGAGCTGTTCCTTAAGGAGAGAATAATCTGTTCTCCTGTTTTATGGTGGATATGAACTTCAACTGCAGCCAGAAAAATTCCAGTTAGACATAAGAAAAATCTCTCTAATGGTAAAGATCCTGCAGCACTGAAAGAGATTGCTTAGAGAGCTACATGGACTCCATCTGTGGAGGAACACACTTAAGAACAGATTAACACACTTCAGTCAGAAATGGCTTGGGCAGAATTGGGACAAGGATGTGTAGTAGATGATGAGATTTCTAAGACCCTTCCCAGTCCTTTTTCTTATTCTGTAGTTTGATAGATCTCTGTTGGCCAAACCCTACCCTTACTGCCTCTCTTGTGGATACATCCACAAAAAGACAGAAGAAGAAAGCAACAATCCTGGTGCTTTTCTTCTGTGGCCACAAAGGCAATCTCAAGACTGACACTTTGCCCACATCATTAGAGAGCAGAGAGTGGAGCAGGAGGAGGAGCAGCCCCACACACACCATTAGCAATAAACACAATTTGAGGCCACTGCTGCTAAAGAGACCTTGTCTGTGGTATATTATCTGTCAAATGCCCTTCTCAGTCCTTTTAATTCTTAGCTAAATCTGTTGCTTTAAACTTGCTCAAATTTTTTGTGACCCAGTATGTTAGAGCTGCATTCAGAAAAAATTCCTATGTGACGAATAGATGTTCTAAGTTTATTACAAACTTGATGCTACAGCTGGTGCTAAGCAACCTACTGCCTTGATGGAATAAAGATAGCCAAGTGATTTACCATTTATTAAAGACTCTATTAATGATTTATTAATGTTTTATTAACTATTTATCAATGCAACCTTAATAAAAAGCATGTCTTGTTTCACAGCATCTTTCTGGTTTCTGCATTTATACAAACCTGATCAAACTCTCTTTGCTAAGAAGTCAGTAATGCATGAGGGGCAGACACATTTTCTGTGTGTGATGCATAGAAAATTAAAAAACATCTCAGTCTGTTTCATCTTCGGGGGAAAGGCTAAGGGAAGAATGAATATATAGAAATATATGTATACACGGACAAGCTAATGATACTAAAGTCTAAAGGAACACAAAGATTGTTTTTCATTCATATTCCTCATGAAGGAATAGAAAATTTGCACTAACAGTTGGGAATATCCTGACCAGTAATCTGACCTGCTTTATACTGGGCCAAGGGCTTCCTTAGAAAGTGATTTTGAAACATTGCCAGTGTTTACAGGGACATGGTAGATAAATTCATGAACATACATTTATTATCATGCTTAAGCATTTAAAAAAATTCTGATCATC